GTGTCGATCTTAAAAGTACATCACGGTAAACTTATCACAAAATGTTTTAAGTGCTACATTATTATTTACATGATTTTTTTTTATAAGGTTTTAAGGCAGACAATTACACTAAAATTCTACATAACTACATGAGGGAGCCGTGGCCTCGTATCGTAGTTTGTAGAATTCGTATAAGAGGGAAATGTGTCGATTTTCCTACCCCTGAAAAAGGCACGGAGTGGGGGGCAAGGGCGGTTCCAAGTGACGGACTAAAGAGGGATGATTCCTATACCGCTTCCTTTTGTCGTGCATTTCTAAATTTCCACGCCGTTTCTGTTTTTCGCAATTCAATTATTCAGATTAGGAAACGATTTTATTTGGAAATTTGACTGTAGGTATATTGTCGGTTTTCTATTATGTATGGCTCAATATGATTGAAACTTTATTTCTGATAATGTTGGCTGTAAATCTAGATACTTTTCAGTTTCATACACAGTATATGTCCAAAAGGAATTAATTTATATGAGAACTTGGAAATAATCGGGGATACAAATTCTGATGTTTTCTTTATTTTTTACTTTGATTAAAGTTTCAGGTAGTAACCATAACTGCCATTTAAGATTTAGTCTTCCTTTCTGTGTTTCTGTAAATATTTTACAAGATAAAACAAGACAAAACAAAACAAAACAAGACAAAACAAGACAAGACAAAACAAGACAAAACAAGACAAAACAAGACAAAACAAGACAAAACAAGACAAAACAAGACAAAACAAGACAAAACAAGACAAAACAAGACAAAACAAGACAAAACAAGACAAAACAAGACAAAACAAGACAAAACAAGACAAAACAAGACAAAACAAGACAAAACAAGACAAAACAAGACAAAACAAGACAAAACAAGACAAAACAAGACAAAACAAGACAAAACAAGACAAAACAAGACAAAACAAGACAAAACAAGACAAAACAAGACAAAACAAGACAAAACAAGACAAAACAAGACAAAACAAGACAAAACAAGACAAAACAAGACAAAACAAGACAAAACAAGATGAAACAAGACGAAATAAGGCGAAACAATGCGAAACAAGATGAAACAAGATGAAATAAGACGAAACAAGATGAAACAAGAAGAAACATGACGAAACATAGATTTTTATTCAAGATTAAGACTTCATGAACGGTACCTGTGAACTCATTTTGTGTTAAAGTGCGTTACTAATGATTCTGATATATTTTTCCAATCTGACATGTGGATAATGCAAAAATGTTACAGTGATTATTTAAAGATGGCAGTGTGACATTTCTTAAAATGTTTAATTTGACTTTATCACAAGTAGGGGTTTGCTGTTTAAACTTTTTTAGTTGGGGTAGGTGGGGCTTAGGATTCTTGCTACATATGTGGCCGGAATTATTAAAAATTTGGCTTTTGGCTAACATGTATGAGTTGATGAGGTTCCACAATTTATTTAACGAGTTTTGTTTTGGTTATGTGTTCATCCAGCTATACTTAATTATAATACCTCGTAGTTTGAAATATAGTCCAACGTGGAATAAATTATTTAAAAATAACAATGCTGTTCCTGTAAAGTGACTCTGAGAAACAGGGAAAAAGCCTTTATCGATCACGATATGCTATAATAGGCTAATGTGAATATAACCTGTAAAAAATCAGTCCCGTTTTCCAGATAGAAAAAATCACTAATCTGTAGGTAATCAGATCAGTGAAACATTGATCAGTGGAAAAACAAGGTAAAATTAAAATTACTATAGGAGACAATCCCACCAAAAAATGGGAGTAGGAAAAATCAATTCTTTAAGATAGTAGGCGATTGCAAATAAAAATTTTGCATTAGTATACCTATACGAGTCAGAGCTGGGAAATTACATGTACTTTAAAAATAATTACAATTACAAAGTACTTTTTTAAAAAGGAATTAATTACAAGTACAAAGTATATGTTGTAAAAATGGGAATTATATTGATTTAATTACAATTACATGAAAAAATGAATTAGCAATTACTTTTATAATTACTTTTATAATTACTTTTATAATTACTTTTATAATTACTTTTATAATTACTTTTATGATTACTTTTATGATTACTTTTATAATTACTTTTATAATTACTTTGCCGATAAAACAACAAATTATGATAAAATTGAGGAACCATGAACCAACCGGACCGGTACAAATAAAAATTTTAAATAGGTAATTCAAAGTGTCAAACTAACAGCTGTTTGCAAGGAAGATATCCTGCGGGTTGTGTAAATCTTACTTAAAGTTAAATTCGGTTTGAGGTTAAGGTGATACATTACAAATTTTGTATGGCATAGGTACAGTCTAAACACTATTTAGCACTTAGGGCTTGTTTCCTAAAACTAAGTTTAATTTTAAGTATACCTCATACAACCAGCCATAAGTGTATTGTTTTCTGTACCATTTTAAGGTCTTCTTAACTTAAGGGAAAATACAAAATCGATAAGTTGTATAAAAAATGGAACTTTTCAAAGTTTATTGATTTGGAACAAAAATACAAAAGTTCGTGAACCTACGCATAGGTAGTTTTATATTTTACCTAATCATACCATACAAATCGGGCATCATTAGTCTGGGGCCGTTTAATCAAAAAGATAAAATAGTTAACACTAAACATACTATTTACATTCGGTGCGGTAATCAACTCTCGTCAAAAATTATGTGATACCTTTTTATTTCTATCGTTTAAGCTTGGGATACTTAAAAGTTTAAAACTAATTTTTCAAATATCATACCTTTGAAACATATTTTTTAACAAGAGCAGACCACAGAATATTAGAAAAATATCTGGTGCAAAATTATTAATATTTTTTACTTTTCATCAAGCATGCAAAAATTAATGTCGCCTGATTTGCAAGATCTAGTTATAATTATTCATAAAATGTTTACATTGTTACTTTTCATAGCAAGTTTTTCAAAATTTCTGTCGGACAGCGCATGCCTTCTGGGAGCGTTGACAATTGTGGAAAAGAAAAATAATCTCTTAACAGGCCCAGAAGAAGGAAGTGCCGTATTATATTAAAAAAACAAATTATTTTAACGGAAACCTATAAGGTTTCAATTTATTTGAATTATAAATGGTAAATTTGTAGTTAAATTTTATGAGAAAATATTTGCTTATAGGTTTCCGTTAAAATAAATTGGATCTAGCATCGTAATATTTTTTCTTAAATTATCAAGATATTGTAACACTTTTAACTGTGCCCTATTTTTTGTACAATCGAAGGTGTTACGCCTTCAATGAAATCAAAAAAGTCTTTATTTATAATAACTTTGGTTGTAGCACTAATAAAATTAGCTTTCAAATGAAGTGTCCCACTTTACCATAGGTAATAATTTTTTATCCCGCTAGAGGGCGCTAAAATTAAAACACAATGAACAGTCATATTGCTAAATTCTCAATAAAATTACCTTTTCGACGATGTACGTGTTATACTTAGTACTTTCCCTATTTAAATTGTATTGGTTAGATTAACGTAGGTGAGAGAAATGATATATGACAGTTGAGGCTATTATAGAAAGGTGTCCCCCTTGAAATAAAAATCGACCTGTTTTTGCGTTCCTTTCAAAAACAATATTCTTCAAGATATTCTGAGATGCGGCCGGTCGCCACCCTTACTGAACGCTACATAATATTAAAATTATATTTAATAATCTAAAATGTATCGTTCTGTATCTCGTTCGTACAAACAAAAATGAGACACATTTTACTCAAATTTGGTTATAGATCTACATCATCAAATAATTTCTTATAACATAAAATATATTTATATTCCGTGGTATTAATTTAATTAATATATTGCATTTTCTACGTTAAAATTCAAAAACTTGTAGCGTTAAAGTAACTTAGAATACGTTTATTAAAATAGTTAATCCGTCATCCCAATGTAGAAAACTAGAATAATAACTAGAAATACCTACGCAACGTAACTAAGTAGTTTTAGTATTTACCCCATAAAAACTGCTATTTGCACCACTTTATACTATATTTCCTTAGTTTAATGTTTATGCAACATAAATTATGTTTATAATAATATAAATACAAAATACGTCTTAAAAATAAGGATATCTGCATCTACCCCTTGCTATTATTAGAACAATTTCACTGCTTCATGGCACAACGCTTTCCTTAAATGCATTCAAACAAATGATATGAGATATGGATCCGAGTCTGAGCTCTAGTGACCAGTTCGAATAGAAAATATTTTGATTTTATATCACGTGCATCTCATACATATGCATTTAAAAGTAATTGTAATTAAAAAATGTAATTGTACTTATAAATGTAATTGTAATTGGAAAAGTAATTGTACTTATGACAAGTAATTGTACTTAGACAATTTAAATAATATAAATTAATATAATTACAAAGTACAATTCCTTCACAAATTTTGCTGCAATTACAATTTCAAATTACTTTGAGAGAGAAAAGTACTTAAATACAATTACAAATTACACGAAAAAAAGTAATTGTAATTACTAATTACTTTTTAACTAGGATTTATACCCAGCTCTGTTACGAGTATACAATTCAAATTTTCAAATCCGAGGATTATTTAAGAATAAAAAGAGCTTTAAAACGATGTGTCATTCGACCCCTTTTCTATTAGAAACATTTATCAAAATAACGCACAACTGTCATTTTTAAACTTTTTCAAATTCGTAATCTTACTTCAATATAAAAGTAAACGAAAGAACTAAAAATAAAAGGGGAAGACGGGCACCCCAGAAAAGAAACTTCTGATTCTCATTTCCTACTCCCCTAATCTATGTCCTCATTTCATGAAGCATTTATAAAAATGTTTATAATATACCGTAGCGACATCTTAACGAATAAGTCGTTACAACTTTTTTTCCACTTCATCTAGCGCTACATAGATGCCTCTACAGAACGAAATAACGTTAACCAAAAACCTATTATGTAAAAGTCTGTAATAAAAAGAAGAAGAATTTTAATTTTAAATAGAAGAGAATATCTATATGTCAAACAGTTGTCAAAATTATTTGTTGTCCTTTTCTTTCTTTAATTTTTAAGAGCGCAGTGAATATGGCTGCTGGAGTAAGTATGAATTAAATTTTAATAATCCTTCTTAATTTTGTGATCATCCTATCATGTCTAGCTCGTTTAACGATAGCTTATAGTCTTATTTATCTAAATATGGTTGTATTTTTTTCAGACTCTCTACACTTACCCGGAAAATTTCCGTGCCGCAAAAGCTCTCATTGCGGCTCAATATGCAAAAGTAAATGTCAAAGTAGCACCAAACTTCGTTTTCGGTGAAACAAACAAATCAAAAGAGTTTACAAAGAAATTCCCAACTGGAAAAGTAAGTGCCTGTCTTTTCAATATTAACTTCAAAATACATTTTATGTAATGTTTATAGAGGTTATGTTTTTTTAGGTTCCAGCTTTTGAAACCAGTGATGGCAAGTGTCTTCAAGACAGCAATGCAATAGCTTATTACGTAGCAAACGACCAATTGAGGGGCAAAAATGAGTATGATAGGGCGCAGATTTTGCAATGGATTGGTTTTGCAGAAGGAGAAATCTTGCCAGCTGCCTGTGCCTGGGTCTTCCCTGTTTTAGGAATTGTAAAAAATAATGCTAACACTCAAGAAGTTAGTACAATTTTATTTATATTATACTGCGCGAGCTAAATTGGTTAAGTTGTGAGAAATAGTGTTGGTGTTTGCCCAGAGATCTTTTGAATGTATTATAGCTAAAAATATTTGGATCTAGATGAGGAAATGCATAAAATTTTATTTTAAATATGGCGTTAATATCTTAATTGAGTGGGTATGTGCATTTTCTTTATGATTTTAGAGTTTACCTTAATTATTGCATAAGTAGTATAGTAGTAAGTACTTTTTGTCGAATGAAATGAATTAAAAACAAACTTAAGGGTTTCTATGAAATTTGCTATGATATTCTATTGTAGTATCTGTTAGAAATAGTAGTCCAAAAGTTAGAATAGAATATACAAAACCTCAAATCAATCCATAATGTGATTTTTACAAACTCCTGCAATATGATGCAATGCAATTCTAGTGGATAATTGGATCTCTTATAGCTTTATTGTGTTTTATAAACTGACCACTTTCTGAAAAGTCAGGAATACACAGCTTATTATGTTTGTCAGGAAATTTTAATTAAATTTTGAGAAAATATGTTTAATGTGTACAAAGACTTAGGTGGTGTGTGATACTCATTTTGATTCTTATGTCGCTTGTAATATTGTTTTTTTTTTGTATTGTAAGCTAAACGTAACTCAAAAAAGTCGGGGAAAACACCTTAAAAATCAGAAATTTGCCAGTTAACTTTTCTTATGAAAATAGGAGTCAAAATGGTGATGTATTAAAAGTAAAAATCTGAGCATTTTTTAAATTTTTATTTATTGCTTGCAAATGATTATGAAGGAAGTAATTAACTTCTTTCTACTGTTCTTGATATTTATGCAATGCTTGTTTAGACAAACTTTGTTCATCACTGTGATCTAAAACAAAACATCATTTTCCCTACAAGATTTCTAGTCAGTCGACTGTTCTTGTAGGTCTCAATTTTCTATTAAAAAAAACTAGTATTGATCAAAGAAATTTTATAATTGTTTTTAATTTTAGGCTTTCCAAAGAGCTAAAGACGATATCAAAGCTGCTCTTTCTATACTTAACAGCCATTTACTTACTCGTACGTATTTGGTAGGTGAAAGACTCACTTTGGCAGACATTGTTGTTGCATGTAACTTACTCAACCCATACAAATACGTGTTAGATGCTGCTTTCAGAAAGCCTTTTGCCAATGTCAACAGGTGGTTCACTACTTTAATCAACCAACCACAATTCAAGGCTATCCTTGGCAACATTGAACTATGCAGTAAGGTTGCACAACCAGGTAGTGTCACTGTAGCTGCTTCTCCATCTGAAGGTAAGTGTTTTCTTTTAATTTGCTTATTGTATTATGTCATCTTGTTTATTTGGTTTCTATGTTTTGTTTCAACTAATCATTTTTATATTTGGTGGATGTAAAAATAGTGGAAAAAACATACATAACCTCAATCCAAAGTGTAATTTATACAAACTGATAAAAGTTTAGTAGACAATTTGATCTCTTGAAGCTGTTTTTGGAGTGTCTTATAAGGTGACCACTTTCTGCAGGATCATAAAAAGACAGGAGGCAATTTATGTTGATCAACTTTTAACTCTCACAAGATCTGAAGGTTTTCTTCCCTTCAGTCTTCTTTCTGTTTCATGCTGCTCCAGGGTCTGAAGCATTTTGATGTTGACATTTGTTTGAAGTCTAGCTTTGTATCTTGAGGTATAACTCACACAACATCTGAAGCATTTTGATGTTGACATTTGTTTGAAGACTATCTTTGTTTTTTTTTACTTTTCTTCTTTAACAGTTTCTATCTTGAGATATCATGTCTAAATCTATCAGAATGAAATAAAAATTATATATTTTTTAATACTAAGAACTTTGGTTATACTTGAAGTGATCATATTATTTTGTTATTTTAAGTAGGACCCCTGTATATTTCAACATTTTTAAATTCTATGACCAATTCTAGACACTTTTTATGCAATATTTTCTATATTTTCGTATCTATAACCATTTCTGTTTTTATGTGAAATTCAATAAACCTACTATTTTTACATTTTATTTTTAGGCATGAGACATAATAAGTGTATGTAACTTTAATTTATCAGAAATGGTTAGTGATATGTATAGGACATATTGCATAAAAAGCTTGTAGAATTGATCATAGAATTTAGAAATATTGAGATCCCATTTGAATTAAAACAATTCATGATCGCTTCCAGTGGTATAACCTGAACTTCTAGATATTCTAAAATATGCTCTTGAAATAGCCCACATGTCATTGTATATTTAATTTCATTCTAATAATTATAACAATTACAGTGTACTCTGCATGAAGAAATTTTAAAGGTTATGTTGAGTTAACATATAATTTTTTAAGCCTCAATATAACTGCACAATTTTTATTTCTTACTCAGAATTACTAGAATTAGTTAATGAGACATGAAGCATAATATGTGTGGTGGAACTCTGAAAATGATCTAACAAGTTATACATACTTGTTTCCAGACCTAGGTACTTTATATTAAATAATGGTTGTCAATTAAATGTATTCCCCCTGGTAAAACAAGAAATTTAATGAAAATAACCATTCTTAGAGACTTTTATGACAATTTAAGTATCATTTCTGTTAAATGGGTCAGTGATATTGTTTTAGGGTTACTACTGAATTTATTAATGTAACTTTTAGCTAACTGATGACATTAATTTAGTCACATGGGACATGGGGGCTTCTGTCATATTACTGTAAATTGTAAACATTCATAAAACAGGAGAAACTTATTTGTGTCCATCATTTTACAAATGACTATTCTCATTTTAATACCGTACACCAAAGAGTTTGTTATATGGTCATTACAATGTAAAATGTCATTTTAATTATGACATTACAGTGTTATAATATGACCAAGCCCACATATAGGGTGGTGCAAGACTTTTGAAACTCAAATTGCACTTTTTAATAAAAAAATTAATATAAATATATTTTTTAATAAAACGAAAACAATATTGCAATTACAATATATTTGTACTTGTCTGTTTTTACAAGCTGCACAAACTAAAACTAAAATAGTTGGAAACTGTGAAAGTACAGAGAAAAAAGGAAAGAAAGGTAAGACATTTACGAGGACATTTATTACCAAATTTTATTTGCGATGTTTTTGAATTTCAATTTGTCATTAAAATTCATAAAAAGGCCGTAGAAGGATCGTTTCAATCATTCGTAAATAATTTAAACTCTCTCAAAGGCAGGTATTGTGAAATTATAGCAATATTTGTAACAAAGAGAGTAAAACTAACTTAGTTGATATTGCTTTTAAACTTTTTATTTTTTATGTATTTAAAAGGTATTGTGATATCAATACAATTAATTCCATATATTTTATATAGTTACTTCACGAAGTTTATAAAAATGTGTTTTCATTTTTTAATATTTGTATTTTTTTTTTAATTAAGATTCAAAATAACACTTTAATATATTAAAAAATTATTTTCCTTTGATCATTTCCTATTAATTTTATTGTAAATTGGGATATGTAGAATCTAATAAATAATTACTTTTTAATTTTCAATTTTACTTTCTAATTGATTAAAGTAGGTAACATTTATTATGCACTATAAATCCAAACTTGAAGAAGCAAAAGTAGTAGAAGTAATTATCATTGTGGCCAGAGTATTCCTTTTATAATTATATTGTATTGAATATCTTTTAAGTTTTATTTTTATAGAAAAAAAATTGGAACAATTAAAATCAATGTCACAATTTTTTTGGTGAATTATCCAAAAATGTTCCTTTCATTGTTGAAATGAAGTAGTACATCCTTCTGTCACCACATTGCTACTAAAAGTTCCTAAACTGTGCCCACTATGCAGATAACGCTATCCCCCTTTTTGTGTACTTCTATCTCCTTCCCCTTTATTCTTTAAGATCTGTAAATATTGTTTTTGATATTGTAAATTATACCTCAAATGATTTTTACAGTTTAAGATGCAAACATTTAAAGCTGATCAGTTATAAGGTATACTGGGATTCTAAGATGCAATACATATCAAAATTAAATAATTATTATGTATATTTATTTTTGTTTTATTAGGCAAAGGAAAGAAGAAGGACGAAAAGAAACAGGAGAAGAAACCTAAAGAAACTCCCAAGAAAGAACAGGAACCAGAGGAAGAACTTGACGCTGCCGATGCTGCCCTTGCTGCTGAACCCAAGGGCAGGGATCCGTTTGCAGAAATGCCAAAAGGGTAAGCAGATTCTACAATTAAATTTTTAACATTTTAATTTATTTTTAAATCTATCTCAATATTTTTATATTAAATTAAACAATATAATTCCAAGAGATTTAATTTTAATCTTTTAATACAATAACTAAATTAAATATTTTTGAATAAATGCTCGAAAACAAAAATATTTTTTAATTTTTAACATTTTTAAATGATCATTTATTTGTCTAAAAAAAGTAAGCCCAGTTAATCAAAATTACAAACAAAACTAATTACTTATACATATTTATACAAGGTACTGCTAGAAATAAAAGGATTAGGGCTTTAAAATCGTTTGATTTTTTTTTTCATAATTTTAACATTATTGCTTTCAATATACTTCCCTCCTTTATACTGCTCCATGGGAATTTTTCATTGGCCACAGTAGTTCTGTTTATAATCATTGTTCGAAAGCAAATCATGTTCATCATGGTCTCCTCCACTTTTTTCTTTGACAGCTCTACTGTCTCAAATTTGGTTTCTACTCGGTGCTGATTTGACATTGGGTAATAAAAAAATCTTCACACGTTTAGTTTGTTTCCATTATTGTTCATCCAGAAGCATATAACTCAGTTCTTTTTAGGACTAACTAGGCAATAAATATTGTGTAATGCTTTTTGCACATTTTTTTCATTAAAATGGATATTGCTGTCAAACACCAGTTCTGCAAATAGTACACAATTGGATTTAGACCATTTATGATTCATAGAAAAACAAACTATAATAAACTTGTACACAAATCCTAGGAGATGAGATGAACAAACTTAAAACTATACTTTATCTTAGTTTACAATATCAAAATAATAATGAAAGCAATTGTGGCAATGTGGCAAAATTGGTATAATGAAAATCAGCGTTCCCTTTAATTTGGTGTGGATGTATTTGATTTCAAAGCACTTGTATACAAAAATAAACCATAATATACTTCAGAACTTTGCTGCATTTTATATGAACAAAGAAAAATCTAAATATATACAAATAACCGCGTCCACATTGAGTGAATTTCCTCGCGATGAAGCCTCGGGCTTTTACCTCGCGAGCCTGCCTCGGTTGAATTTGGTTCCAGAAAAAATAGGTTTGCTTCGCGCGGCAACCTTCTTATGCAAGGAAATTTATATTTCTGAATTGAAACTCTTTTGAGCACGTCCACGTTACTGACAGCATTCGGCTCGAAGCGAGTCCGCCTCGGGTGAGACAGCACGTTCTAAAATTAAGGGCGAGGCACGTAAACGCTAAGCGAGCATTTGCTTCGCGAGGCAATTCGCTCAATGTGGACGCGGCTATTAACATATTTTACTTTTTTTTAATATTTAAAAACAATACAATGAGCAACTGGAGTTGTTGTGTTGTAAATTGTAATAATAGTAGCAAAATGGAAATTAAATCAAAGAAATAAAAAGATAACTGCAGTAAGAAGAGAAAAATAATTACCTTCTAACAAACCTTTATTTTTGTAAGAACAGTAATATTGAAACAAAAACTGAAAGGTTTTAAATACTTGAAGAAATTATTATTTTACGATGTTCTTCAAAATCTTTTGTGTATATATGTTCAATTATTTGTAATAATATACTTTATTGTCAGAGAAAACGAATTCTATTGACAAAGCATTAAAATTTAAATAAGTATCTATAAAGTAAGTAGAAAGTAAAAAAAAAATAAAATTCATATTAAAAACATGCAATATTGTCAACACATATAAATACAATATAAAAGAGAAGAGGTAGGTACACTACAATAAAGTTTTACTAGCTAATAGTCAAAACTGTCATTTCTAGGTTATAGTAAGCTTTTTCAAGTAGTAGTTCTTTTAATTTAGTTCTAAATAATGAATGAGATTTAATAAATTTTAAAGAATTTTGTGGGTGATTAAATATTTTTGGATTTTTGATAGATAATGGAATTTCTGATCATGGTGTGGAATTGTAATAATTAAGTTATTGTTTTGCCGAGTCTTTGCTCAGATGATATACCTAAATTATTTTTATGAATTAAGCTCACTGCCTTTGATATGAAAGGATAAATGTCTGCCTTTGATTATTGTCTGTATCTGGAATGCAATTTTGTGACTGATTGATTGGAAATCAGTTTTAATAATTAATTCCATGTTTTCTTTCAAACTAAAAATGAAGAAAACAAGTATAAATTACATTCGAAAATATACATATAATTTGCTAATTACAACTATTTTTGTGAATAAATTTTGTTCCACATTTGACATTAACCTCTAACTTCATTAGTCAACTTTTCATACTCTTTCTGGTAAATACTGTTTCCTAATCACAACTATCATGTATTAATTATTTTTTTATTGAATATACTCACTTGTAATAAAAATATAGTAAATGAATCTTTTCACTTGTTTTATAAATGTATTTACTTACTTGTATTAAAACTAAAAAATATATTTTTTCATTATAAATTCTATTACATATGATACCGTCAATATACTCAATATCGCCCTTTAGTTAATAGTTTAGTTGGTGCTGCTGTCACACGGAGCGAATATAAAAAATGCAAAACATACACATTGTTGTTATTTGGTACCTGCCTAAATGAGATGTTCTGAATTTATAACAATCTTTCCTTTAACTACACATATTATAATATGCTTAATTTTATTTCAAAAAACAAAAAGAATTTACATATTTAATGGTTTAAAATATCTACAATACTTACTTTCTTTTTTTTTTATTAAAATAGCTGATAGTTGATGACTACTTGAATGAGTAACGCAGTTTATCTTATGAAACAATGAAAAAATCAAAATATCAATTTAAAACCACAATAAACTCCTATGTTAAATCCAAAATGTAAATAAAACTAACATTTTGGTTTTGGTTGACATTTAAGCTAGGTGCTTCGTTCTACCCAAGGATTATAATTCATTCCCAGAATAATGTAACGTAAATCCTTTTTTGTCAATTGGCCTTCCCATCTTATTTCATGAATTGCAGCAACACGTATGCCATATCTATTGAGTTTTTCGTATTTATTGCATTTTTCCAGATTCCAACATTGTTCTAATATTCCAGGTACTTATTCTCAATTCACTTCTACATTTTCTTTTATTTTTATTTTTCTTTTCTCTATCTTTTTTTCTTTCAGCATTCTTTGCTTTATTTTCATGAGTCTTTGTTTCTGTTTCTTGTCCAGTTCTTTGCTAAGGCGTTTCCTTTAGCCTCTCCTTTTATTTCCCTATGTGGTCTGCTAGTTTTTGGGAGTGTCCTTATTTCCTGTTTTTTTTTCGTCATCTTGTTTATCATTTCATACTGTTCTGCCTCCTTATTTGATGATCTTTCGTTGAATGTTCTTCCAGCTTTTCCTCTTTCCATTGGTTTTTTGTTCGACGTGCTGTCTTTCCATAACCTAAATCTACTGCATATCTTATCATTTATATACAGTACTTTTTTTTTGTGTTAGGCATATGACTAGCATATAAGTTAATAAAATGACAACAGGGCAACAGCCAGACGTCGACTAGAATTACAAGATATAGTGGTGAAATATTAGCTGAACCCAGTGTCAGTGACAAAACCAGAGAACATAGCGATAGCGGGGATATCGTAGTTGCCCCACGTTAACTGTGAAAGCATGGCTATGCCTAATACAAAATAATAAGCACTGTATATGCTGTTGTAATTTATCTTTATTTTAAGTCTATTCTCTCTGGCTTCCTTCATATGCTTTCACTGTTCTTTAATTTCTTTTCGATAATCTTCATCTATAAATATATTTGTACCTTTTAGCTTCGAGGTTGACTTAATTATTTATCTTTTTTTTTGTGCTAATCCCTGAATTTCGCTAACATTGGCCTTTCTTTGTTTTTAATTTTATTTCCTATTCTTCTCTCAGCTGTGTCCTCTTTTTCAATGAGTTCCACTGCGAGTTTTTCCATCACTTCTTTCCTTTTATTTTTCATAATTAACATATCCTTCTTTTTCCTAGTTTTCCATTCTACCGCTATTATTCTTCCTTCTTGCTTTTAAATCTACCCTAAGCTGTTTATTTTCAAAGCAGTTTATCTTCTATTCTTATGTTCCTTTCTTCCTCACTGTCTAATTTGCTTTTTATTTCTTCCAAAATGAGTTCCATTCTTTTCTCTTTTTTATCTCTTTTCTGCTATATCGCGCCGTTTTTATTTCTTTTTTTATTTTACTCAACAGTTTCGGTGTCCAGTTTACGTTTTGGTCATTAAAAACATACTATGTCTGAGCTGGCCCTGTTCAATTAGATGTATTCTTTATTCCTTTCTTATTTACTTGCTTATCTTATCACACTGCGGAAAAAGCCCCTGGGCAGTCAACCCGTCGGACCTTGACTTCTATCGACATGCAATTTTAGCTTATAAAAATATATTAACTTAATTGTCTGACCTTATTGGATTTATGTATATCTCTTTACACACAATCACTTAGCACCTTATACACCTACTGACCACTTTGGGATGAAATTTATACTCATAGTTTCCCAATTAGATGAGTTTAATTATGGAGCAAATATCACTGAACTTTTCTAATCAATCAAAATCGGAAATTCTTCATTTATTGTTATTTTTCAAAATTCAAAATTACAGTTTTGCACATTCTAGGAGAGTCTAAATATTAACCTATTTTAATATCTATATGTATTTCAATTATACTTTGTAGAAATAGCTGTTTTTTTTAGTAAATTTTACGATTTTTAAATTTTCATTGCAGAACCTTTGTCTTCGATGATTTCAAACGTGTCTACTCCAATGAAGACGAAAGCAAATCCATCCCCTACTTCTTTGAAAAGTTCGACCCAGAACACTATTCCATCTGGTATGGTGAATATAAATATCCACAAGAACTTGCTAAGGTGTTCATGAGCTGTAACTTAATCACCGGAATGTTCCAGAGGCTCGACAAGATGAGGAAGCAGGCCTTCGCATCTGTATGTCTCTTCGGCGAGGACAATAACAGCACAATTTCTGGTATCTGGGTGTGGAGAGGACAGGACTTAGCTTTTCCAGTGAGTAAAAACAGACATAACTCATTTGAATCGGTTTTAATTCAGTAACTGTTTGTTTTAGTTGAGCCCTGACTGGCAAATAGACTATGAATCATATGACTGGAAGAAATTGGATGCTAAATCACCAGAAACCAAGAAATTAGTGGAGCAATATTTCTCATGGACTGGTACGGATAAGGATGGTAGAAAATTCAATCAAGGAAAAATCTTTAAATAATGAAACAAACTTAATTCTTGTTAAATGAAAAACAAAAACCATCTTTTAATACTGTACTGATTTTGTGAAGCAAGAGAATAAATACAACCACGTTTTGTTATATTTACTCTTTTTTTTTATTACTCATATGTACTTTTCTTTTGTTTATTTAATGTTCGCTGAATTTTGTCATTGAGCTATATCTCTCCCACAGTTTATATGACAACCATTAAATATATTAATAAACTCGTATTTTTCTGCTTGATTAAAGTGATTTTTGAATCGTTACTTACAGGCTGTGAACCGAAACTAAAAACCTGGAAGTGGGAACCGTAACTGATTATTTTCTTGAAACCCTAATTGTAATTTGAAAACACCTCATTCAAAAAAACCGTAATCAAATTTGTTGAACCAAAATGTAAAAAGTAAATATTCTCTTTATACAGTAGATCGATGATCCGGATTAATTGTGACTGGACCCTGTCCGGATTATCAAAATGTCCAGATTTTCGAAAAAAGGTTTAAATTCATAACAAAAAGAAAACTTGCTAAAACCGTTAATAATTCACTTTTGTGGTTAAATTATAGCAGATGAATAAAATTATTTTGTTTGACAAAAAATATGCATGTATGTATTCACTTCAACTTTTTTTTTTGTTTTACTGGAATTGAATCCACGTTAACGACTGTCCGGATTTTTGACGTCCGAATTATCAACGCTCTACTGTATTTACATTCAAAAAACAAGTTTTTCTTAGTACCGTTAGCAGTGGCGACTTGTCCTATGATGTAGTGCCTCACCAAAATAACAAATAATTAAAAAATACCTTATAGTTTTTATGTTTTCTGTGGTACTATTTCGATTCAAACATCGCCAAATTACATCTGTAGTACCGATATATCTCTAATTTATATACCTTATAAATACGCCGGACCCTTCATTCAGCCTCATCCTATCGCAAAATAATACAACTCCATCGCAGTTGGTTGCTCAGCTTTATTCAAGATAACAGAGGATAGCGAGGCTTGCCTCGATTCCTGTTTACCTAAATAAGAGGAAGCCTGACGCGAGATCGAATGCCGCCCGCTCCGTCGTTCCGAGTCTTATTTTTAACCGACTTCAAAAAAGGAGGAGGTTCTCAATTCGTCGGAATATTTTGATTCATTGCAGATGTTTTGTCTTTTAGGTTAGAGTTATGATTAATAATTAACGTGTCTGGTTTTTGTAATATTTCATCACTTTTATTTGTAAATTCATAAGTGTAGTGAACGTGAAATATCAGATTCAGAATGGCAGTAGCAGGGTATCGCAGGTAAATAACACAGGGGAACAGCTGTTTTGGTGTCGAGGTTTTTTGAGCTGATTCTATATCAATTTGATGTCCTGAATTCAAATAACGTATTCATTTTTACCAAGAGCTCAAATTTTTAAGATATACAATTTAGAGAAATATAAGTAACATTATTTTAACTCAAATCCGTAAGTGTAGTAAACAAAAATAGATACGAAATTTTTATTTTAGTTATACAAAATACAACATTATGTCGTACTTACAAACAAACAGAAAATTTTCTACAACTGCAACAAATGATGTCCAAGCTTCTCGTTTAACTTGTTTCATTGAATTTATGAAGGCAGGATCCTTAATTAATTGTCTTATTTGTGGGCCGTCAAATATCCCTGCTTTGAGTTTTTCTGTGCTCAACTGATGCATTTCTACCCCTATATATGCAAAACATGACCCATTCTTATCAAGAGCCTTTACAAATTGCTTCATTAAGCCCAACTTTATATGTAACGGAGGAAGTATGATTTTTTCTCTTTCAACCAAAGCGTCGTTAATGACGTTCTTTTCTCCAACGTCCATGTTTTCTCTTTGAGGCCAATCTTTTCTAACCCAGTGGTGTGTTTTGTCCCTATTATCCCAGAGACACAAGAAACACGGATATTTCGTGTAACCACTTTGCTGCCCAAGAAGAAAGTTTACCATTTTTAAGTCTACACAAATCATCCATTGATGTTTGTGATACTTTATCTTCTGCAAGACCAAAGCTACGGTATTATATTCTTCTTTCAGTTTCGTTGATTGAGCTAGTGGTATTTACTAAACAGAAATAATCATTGAAGTGTTTTTTTTGGTTCTCTCCAAACCATTGGTACGCCGAATTTTAGACATGTTCTTTTCCTGGTAGTCCACTGCCGTAAATGCTCTGTAAAAGTTTTACATACGAGATGCGGGGCCCACTTTTTGTCCTGATCACCAAGGTTAACTCCAAAATATCCAAGATACGCTCGCTTTACAAAGTCAGTAATAGTTTGTCTGTTTTGTTGAAACATGTATTCTCCGCATATATAGCAAAACACATCAGGTTGATTTACACAACTTCTTCTTGAACTGGAACCTGAACTCATTTTAATTCTGTTCAATAACACAAAAACACTCTTTCCTTAACATAAAATAACACGCCGAATTCGATCTACTCTCATTAATAAGAACACACAAACTGACTAGACTTACCCGAGTTAGGGGATTAAAAGGGTCAGTTCAGGTACCTGATAGGCAATGGTTCCACTATTTATAGATTTATCTGGAATTTACTCAATTACAGACTGATAATAAAACCATTGTACCTACATTAATGAATATATAATAATTTTAGAACTCTCATAAATGAATATACTGAATATAAACCACATTGGTAGATAAGTTGATGTATCTAAAAAAGTAGAGCTGATAGAGGAAAAACGGATTGCATGTACAGATTTAGCGTCCCAAATATAGTTAAAATCAGCTCTAAAATCACAGGCACCAAAAAAAAATATTTTTTTGTTGCTCTGTGTAATTTATCCATCGAAGAACTAAAAAATATACAGCACGTTGTACATTTTTTAATAAATACGTGTACATTTTCAAGTTTAAGTTATGATAATAAATTATATATTGTGAAAGAAATAAAATGCCCAACTTCAGATTTAAGTAAATCTCTTATTAACATTGGCGTAGGCGGTAAACTAAATCGGGGTTTTACTAATGCCTGGTATCAAAAATACGATTGGTTAACTGGGAGCTTGACTATCAATGCGTTATTTTATTGGCCATTATTTAAAATTGGACAGTAGTAGTGAAAAGGTTTGGTCAAAAAGTGGGTATAAAGACTTAAAAAACTTGTCTCACGGTCTGTCACTTCATAATAAAAGTGCGAATCCTATATGTTCAAACTGTAAATTAACACTTATGAAACAACAAAAACCAAAGATCACCACGATAATAGACAATGCTCGATTAATTGAAAGAGAAAATTTTAATGCCAGGGTAAAAGAAAATAGACAAATTTTGATATTACGATTCATTTGTGTTTGCAATAATTACCGTTTAGGGGCCACAATGAATCTGATGAATCATTAAATCGAGGGAATTTTCGGGAACTTGTTAAATTTGTCATTAAATACGATAATCATTTTAATTTTTTTTTAGAAAAAAGCGATACTAGATCGGTTTTTCTGGAACGTCTAAAATCATACAAAATGAATTAATAGAATCGGTTGCGTTTGTTATAAATAAAAAAATAGAAGCTGAAATTTCAAACTTCCTATTTTTCTTTTGGCAAGTTGACGAAACAACAGATATAACTTGTAATTCACAATTATCTGTAATTTTCCGTTATATTCTTGATGGACAAGCTGTTGAGAGATTTATGGGATTTTTGACAGCTCTTGGATGCTCAGCAGAAGACATATTCCAATTTTTAGTGGATAAATTTAAACAAAAATATTGAAATTGAAAATTAATTGCTTAAACTTTTGGTGGCGTTTCTGTAATGTCTGGAGAGTTGAACGGTTTGCAAATAAAAATTAAAACTGTTGCACCGCAAGCAATATTTATTCATTATTGTTATGCACATGTATTTAACTTGGTTTTAAGATCATGTAGTTCAATTCAGAGATATGAGATAGATGAAAATATATCTAAAGGCGGGTACAGATCTGAGCACGTACGCGTATGAGGCAAGCCGAGGGTGCATGAGCAAGCAGATGTGGACGAGCTTCCGAGGAGCGGCAAATTGCCTCGTTATGTGTGCCGTACGGCCTCGCCCCGATCCGTTTGTTGGCGGTACATCAAAGGGAGGTAATTCGTAGTACGTACTCAGTCTGGACGGGGAATTTGTACCATACAGCATCGAACAGATTATTGCGAGTTTTCACGGTTTATTTTTCATGGAGTAAAATGAGAAAAACGTTTTGTTTTAAATGGATTTATGTAATCAGCGAGATATCAGATATCAGCAAGACATCAGTTCTATTACAATACAATAAAGAAGAAGATGCTTAACACGACATCGGCCACCGATTCTTTCTTTCTTCAATATGTCGAATAAAATAAAACAGACATGCAACTCCGCGACGTCATCCTCATCCTCCATTTTTGTTTTAATTTTACGAGTATTCTAGGTGTACGGTTCCGTGCTCGCGAATTCACTGGATCAGTGATCAGTGGCGAAAACAACATCATGGATGGTTCATGGGAAAACTAAAAGTCTTCCTGTAGATGCATTTATCCGAATGCACTAAAATTATCAAAATCAATAACTATATTTAAAAATAAAGGGTTAATAAGTGATTCTAATAACTATAGAAATATTAGCCTGCAATCGCAATTTTTTAAAATTATCGACTAGCTACAATATGAGACTGGCCAATTTCGTAGAACTGAAGGTGCTAATACCCAATGTAATTTAAATGATAAAAAAAATATTTGCAACAATACCTGTATGATTGACACAATAAACCACCTTAATTATATAACCGAATATCTTCGCTATAGCCTCTTTTAAATTAATTTTAGAGTAAGCAAGATCAAGACAAGAAAATATCGTAATAACAAACAGGCAGGTGGAGGAGGCGCCAGTTCTGATAATTGATTTAAGCAACCAATAATGCATGTGTAATGTTCGTTATATTTTCTCCAAAAACTTTGTAATGCGTATGCGTTGTAGTGCTGCTAAACATATCGCAGAGTTGTGCCATTTTTGATTAGGTCGGCATGCAGGATCTTGTAGCGTTTCACAGGTGGGGAGTTCAGTGTGTACAATGCCAACATGCGACTGACATACTTATAATTAGAAAACTAATCCGAGCTACTCGTTTCGGTGGCACCCTTTAAACGTATTAAACACGTACTTTCTGCATGTGTGACGTAACCGTTTTCAATATATCACCATGTCAGCGGCCGGGCCTTTGTGAGATGTGCTTAGATGGAATGTAGTCGCAGTCAGTCCAATGAGTTGAGTAAGTCGCTTGATTAAAATAAAGTTACTTTCATTTGGGTTCCGGGACATAACAGGTAAAGTGTAACGAGATTGCAGGATAGTCTCGCAAGATAAGGGACTCAAACACCCTTTGTGGGACCTGAGCCGTCCTGTGCTACCAGCAGTAACCCAATATTAGGAGGGATTAAAAAATAATTAGGCAGTAGAAGAACCAATAATTGGAACAATCTCTTGGAGCTAAGACAGGCTAATATACTTCTAGATAAATATAAACAAAAAATATTAGAAGATCCGTCTGAGCAAAAACAGGCTACATATTATAACAGGGATCCTTAGCGAGCATTGCCGACTGAAAGGACACCTTATTCAACTGGGAGTAGTAGAAGATAGTGAGTGCAGATTCTGTGATGAGGACAACGAAACCTCTATTCACAGTATGAATGCGAATGTGCATGTAGTAATCCAGAATCCAAGGACACTATCATATCAAATAGAAGAGGGCGATCTACCTAACTTAAAGCCACTCTAAATCCTGCACTTCCTTGGGAAGATAGAATTGGAAGGGTCGTTATAGGCATCAATACTATTTCCTTGATGCATTACCGACAGAAGGGGGCATAATATATCGTTTAGATCGCAGTGTATTAATACTCCATAACCATCATAACAGATAAAAAAATTAGAAATAACGTGTAATGCACAAAAATATTTCTAAATAAACAGGCCTTGACTGAATAAGATAAAGATATGACTTATGTCCGTGACAACTAAATCCAAGCTCATTGAAAAAAGACTAATTGTTCGGTTCTATGTGCGTGATTTTGTCTATGTCTCATATTTTTTGTGGATCACTCAATATTTAGTTACTGCTATGTCTTATAATTTACCTATTAAAGTAAAAATTGTTTTAACAAATATAAAACGGCTAATAGGTAGATACATTTATTTATTTTCTAGATACGAGAAGTCTTTCTGCAAACAATCAATTAGTCATTTTTTAACCTTGTTCAAATATTCTTTAAACGTTTACTGTTAACTGGTTTACGGTTAGACTTGCAGTCCTAAACTGTAACAAAAATTTAATCCCGACTATGTTTGATTGTTTGATTAGGTCAATTTGAATCATGTACATAGATTATTGTCCGAGTGTTATCTTTGCATTTCTGTGGCACATTTTATGTTGCGATTGTCAAATACTTACGTCTCCCAATTTTTTTAAGCCAAGGTTTATCACTGGAACTACAAATGGGGTGAGTATTTATAGTGATTCGCCCATATCTACACAATAGTGTTTTTTGGTAGTGTTCTGTTTTAAATTATCAAATAGTGTTTAAACAAAAATACGAGTAGTTTATGGGTTCACCATTAATATTCCGTGTGTTTAGAGCTGCTATCACCTAAATTGCAGATGCCGGACAAAAACCTGAAAAACCCCAGATATTTGGGTGAAATTCAGTTTTTTTCCGGACATCCTTGATTTTTTTGCAAAAAAATACACAATATTTTAATTCTTTTATTAATTTAAACAGTTTCTTTGCGATTTATTTAGCAATGTTTTGCAAAATCGTTATAAAAAAGAACGAGGGGGCATTCGATGACACAATAAGTTTCCGGGTTTTACCCGGACATTTTTTTAAAACCCCGCCCGGACGTTCTCCAAATTAGGACAAATCCGGGGAAAACCGAACGGATGGCAGCCCTAATAATGTGTACTCATAATTTGTAATACAAAAACGAAAAGTATGTGATTAATACAAGATTACTTCATATTTAAAGTCTCAAGAATTTAAATGGTGTTTTTACTTGACAAATACCTAATCGATTAACGAATATGAAATAATTAACATACATTTCTTGACTCCCTGTTGAATATAATTTTCTTGCTTATTCTTCTAAACAATAATTAATGGTTGGTTCTATAAACAGCATATTTTAGATGTCTTAAAAGAAAAGTCTAATGGGACAACTCTGGTGATAAAAAAAGAATGATCTATGAAATATTAAAGGAGATAGAATCAAATATTTTTAAATTTAAATAGTTTCGGTTCGTTTGATCTAGAACTTTGCGTTGGCCGTGCTACTTAATCTACTAACGATTTTTAAATTCGGTTTCCTAATATTTTTAGATTTACGTAGCAGTTGTTTTTCCAATAGACTTACCTGGTCGAGAAGCTTATCTAGGTTGGTTTTTCGAAGCTATCCATAGTTTACCTTCTAATCAAACGGAATATGCGTATCCTCCTGAGTATCAACGGAAAATTGAAATACTCGACAGAAAATATGTGTACGATGTTGTGGAAAGTAAAATAAAATCGTAAGTACTTAATTTAAAATTTTATCTTAAAATTTAAAATATACAGTTGAACTATATCAAAATAATATCCCTTATTTATTCTTTAAATTATACCGAATACAAGTTCGAATTTGATTTTTCTTTTAAGATATTGTACAGTATTAAACAATTAGAAAAACAAAAAATTCGGCTTCCGTTTGGAGATGCTCCAAAAAATTACTAATTATTATGTCTCAATACAATTTAAAAAAGTAGTCGCTACCGGGTGTATGTCATTACTATATCTGTAGAAAATAGTATATATAATTGACGTATATAGTACTAAAACTATTAAAACCTAATTCTGTATCGGAATACAGTAGTCCGATTTAAATCATGTAATGGGACAAAATATCCATAAATCTGCTAAGAAAGAAATGATTTTATTTTTCATTTTTATATTGAAAAGAAATAGAGGATTTAATTTAATAGTATTAATTTTATGGAATGATAGCATTTATTTCCTTGAATTACTTGGTTGGAACCGCAGGCCACTTCATTTCAGGTATCTACATGTTATCCGTGTTGTTTTATTTAAATTAATTGTGCCGTTTAATTAAATTTCCGAATTTCCCGCCTTATACCCGAAAACTGAAACCATCCCGTTTCCCCTTCCATTGATTTTCTTAAAATAGTTCCCGATATCGTCTGATTGAGGCCTCGTCACGGCTTATTTTTGTTATTTTTCTTCAGGGTTTCATCAATTCGAGATGGCCGTGCGTTGAAATATTTGAGAACTATGTTTAGATTTTGTAAGTAATAAAGTTATTAAATTAACAACTGTCATATTATTGCGGTTATTAAACCGTGTGCCCCATGATTTTTTCCATGTTTTCATTTTCAGTCTCTGGAAAATTCGTTCTTTGGCATAAACATTGGTTGAAGTTCGCTGTTAGTACCCTCAGTTAATTAAAGTGAACCCCTGAAACTGCGCGGGTACTTTTGACGCATTCTCAGGAGTTAGTGGTTGAAGCAAACCATTTTAAATAATCTGGCGCCCGAGTAACCGACTAAGTGTAGCGCCATTTATAATTCTCAAGGGGTGGGGAAAAACCATTACAATTAATCTAATGTTGGTTAGGTTATTTTAAACACATTAAGAAGATACAAAATGAATAACCCATTTAAGACCTGGCTAGTTTGTGGTTTTTAACATTAGGCGGGGAAAAGCCAAAATCATATAACTACAAACAAGAATTTCAAAGCTAGTATGTCTAATAAAAAAGACCAGGCCAGACGACATACTCTAAATAACGAAGTCTCACAATAAATCTGTAAAGGTCACGATGGACAAGTATTGTCCAAGTCTTTTCAAATCTTTAAAGGTGAGGGTAGCCAGGAGAATAGTAGGGATCGAGTAAAAAGATAGAAAAGAAAAGGTTTTTTATATTTTATCAACTTATTTATTAATAAAAAAAAACAATAAAAATGTCGAATATCAGGTGTGTATTTAAAATGATTAAACTGTAGGGGGCTTATACAAAAAAGTAATACTATGTAATTATTTGAGTAGGAATTTTCTGACCTCAAATTTATTTGATTTTATCGTCGCTGTAGAGCGAAAACCACGTATGGTCAAAAAGAAAAAAAAATCAGGAACAAATAACCGATTTACTTTTGCGGTTTTATAATATTGCTTTGAAAATTTAAGATATAATGGTCATACTGAATTAAAATATTTCGTGACAGTATGCTCTACAAGAATACCCCGTATATTGTACGATACATGGTTGTATTCAGAATAAAAAGAACAAAAATATAAAATATCAAGTCCGTATTTAAAATGATTAACTTTGGGGTGAATTACACAAAACATTAATCAATTTGAGTAGGCATTTTCTGACCTCATATCGACCAAAATTGTCCATTTTGGTTGTGGTACAAACACAAATTATGAATTTTATTTATGACATCTTGTAATAGAATAAAAAAAAAATAATAATAAAAAAAACATTTTTTTAGGAAAGGGTTTCCTGGAAAGGCCTGTATACTGAGAACAATTTGTGAAGTTGCGATGTATTCAATACAACATTCGAACGGCATATTTGGAGATATTTTGCACTTATTGTTATCGTAAGTTCCTAATAATCTAAAAATAGCAAATTAAAGGTATTAATATATCAGGACGGATACTACCGGCGTATAATAATAATAATACTCACGTCAAATCACTACAAAAGTATTTCTTAGAAGTATTATACACAACCAAGATCACTTTTGTAAAGTTAAAATCCCAGCAAAGGAAACTTAAGAGTATTTCTGATATATTATCGTAAATGCTATAGAAATTTCTTATGAACTCTTGTTAAAATGATTGGTAACTCATTTTTGCTTAAAACTTCCTGTATCAAACCCTTTTTGCAATAATGTATGTTCTTTTAGTATAGCCCTTTGACTTTTCTTGCTCTTCTTTGTGTTTAACGCTTGCAAGAAAACATCTCATCTGCTTTTAAATGTAGGTCGATAAAGCTGCAATTAATTCACTATTATTATAGTGAATGATAATTGTAAAAGTATTCTAAAATCTTACCATTAGCCTTTAATTTTAAGTTGAGTCCCATTCCTCTGATAATTTTTGTTTGTAAATATTCTGACTGCAAACAGCAACATTACATCTCGCTCTAGGCATACTTATATTTCAAATTACTTCAGGGTATAAACAAAATGTGGTCCGAGTTCGGCTCGAAGGCCGTACCTTAACCCAAAATGTTAAAAATAACCAATCATACAATAATAAATATTTCTCTTTATAATAATTTAAATAAAATGTAATTAATTTGAAATTATATGGAAGTCATTTCATGATTTTTTTTTGCTCTTTTGTGTCTTATATTTCAAAATATTAAACTACTGATAGATATTATAAAAACACTAAAAATAATAATATAAACGCCACTAATTATTAATAAAATATTTTTAAAAAACTAATGTACGAACCGCAGCAGAATATTTTCATTCAGTGACGTCATACTTCCGTCCCAAGCAACCGGACGAGACCACTGTATTGTCTACGAACCGTGACTTTTGGGTGAGCACTTTTTGAGATAATAATATTTATTTATTTACCAAATAATTACATATTATGTAAGGTTAAAAAAAGAGAATAGTATGTAGTTAAAAGTCATATTAGGAAAAATAGAATTCTCACAGAAAAGCAAGTCTGTGCGTGGGATTAACTATAAATTAGCGTCTCTGTCAAGTTTTTTTATGGTACCTTTCATCGAAATAACATGCCTATTTAAAGATATTGCAGGACTCACTATAAACAACTATATGAGATTGTCCTTCTTTTTTCCACACTCCATAGCTATAATACTGATATCGTAATTTGTGTTCTATTGACAATGACAATAGACACATAAAATAGAGATTATTACTATTCATTATTATTATTATTTAATTTCTAATATTTTCAAGATTGTATTCATTTAAACATTAAAAATATTTTGATTACATAGAAAGGGTTGTACCTCGAGACATTTTTTGCTTCTCCAGTTATTGTGTTGACATTTTTCGTTAGATTACAAAAACCTTTTAGCTCTGCAGAGGCTATAACTGTAGGCAACTGTTGGCCAACAATCAATTTTGCCAGCATCAATGCGTAGACCACTACTAATTGTTCAAGCAGTTGGTGATTTTTGTCCCATGGTACAAACTGTGATTTTACATTGGGACAGCGTACGTTCTACCTTGGGAAATGGTAAATAATTGAATATCATAGTTTTCATTAGTTAAAATAAGCCATAACTTTAGATAGTATGTATTTGTTTTTTATTATAAAAATATGTTAAACATAATTCATACGGACTACAATTTATTTCAAATTAAGATCCTGTGGGAATGAAATGTTAAAGAAATAAAATCCACGACGTATTGTTGGAGTAGGCAATACTTTCACTATATTGCACAGATTAACACTGCTGATGTAAACATCTCCTTTAGTTTTACCGGCGATTTGAAATTTAACAAGAAACCCAGCTACCTTTGGAGAAAATCAGCTGATCTTCATTAGTTGGAAAAAAATTAGAGGAATCCTCATCTTCAGAACTAGAATAGAACCGACTTCCTCCTAAGATATCGCCAAGGTCAGGTAATTCTTCATCAGATGAGGATGATGAAAATTCTACAGCTCTTTTAGCAGCTTCTCTATTTAGGCATAACTTGCCTTTCTTACCCGTTTCCTCTTTAATTCTTTGCTTCTCTGGCATGTCAGTGAGAATCATAACCTCCCAGGTTTTCGTTCTCTACCACAAGATTTCCTTGGTGGTGCTCTGGGAAATGGACGAATTTGTTCCGGAGTTATAGCTATAGATGGTTTTAATGCACTGCTTGTTGAAGGTGTCTCTCTTGATTTTTCTCGGTTATTTTGCCTCTCCTCACTTTCATCCGGCAGTTGGACTTCAGCTGCTGCTGTTGCTGCTTCTGCTGCAGGGTATGGTCTGTTTGTCATTTCAGCAGGTAAAAACTCATCGTCTCCGAACACTTCTGCATTAAAGGGCCAGATGCCAGCAGCCCTGAATCCCGCAGTGCGGTTATTTGGCGTGAATGCCAGAGGGAATGCTTTTCCCAACAATGTGGAGACGTCGTAAATAGAAATAGGCTTCCCAGGGTGGTTGATCATCCAATCCTTTGTATCTTTGTTATAAAAGGCTTTGAGACGCCAAAGACAGACTGGTCCAGTGGCTGGAGTTTATGGCTAGTGTGGGGGGGAAACGTGAGAAAAACGATGCCGTTTTCTTTCGCCAAATTTTATCGCTTCCAATGAAAGGTGACTTTCGTAGTTGTCCATAATAAGCAACACTTCATTGCCACGAGAAGACTTGATTACAGAGATAAAGTGTTTCAGGTACTTCACAAATAGTTCTGCATTGGACCAACCACTAGAAGTTGCCATACCAAGGGTACCGGGTGGTGCATTGTTAATCATGTATTCTTTGTAATGAACACGAGGAAATATGATGGCTGGGGGAACAAATGTTCCAGCAGCATTGACGCAAGCTATCACCGTTACATTTATTCCACGTTCTCCAGAGGTAGCTGCTCCAATTTGTTTCGCCTGTATGTACCTAGCACACGTGATGGCGTGTGAACCGTAGAGCAACCCGTTTCGTCATGGTTCCACACGTTTTGAGGTTGATTTCTTGGAGCTTCCCAAAAAATATTTCAACATTTGATTTGTTGAAAGATGCCATTCGACCTAGGCTAGTAGACTCCGGTTTTCGAAGAGATATTCTGCTTTTATATGAATTACGAAAAGTTCTGTACCACTGTCCTCCTGCGTATCCACGTTCTTTCCATTTTTCTGGATATTTGACTTTGTTTGCTTCGGCATATTGGAAAGCTAATTTTTTAATTTCGTCCACGGTCAAACCAAAGTTCCATTGTGCAGCCTTTAAAATATATGAGATAAGTTATTCTTCTTGTTCAACAGTGAAGACCTTTTGCGTCACATTGTTGGCTTCGTATTTGAAATCAGTTTGACCAGACACCTTGTATGTTTTTATGTGCCTGGCAAGAGTGCTTTTTGATAAACCATATATTCTCGCCACTTCTCGCACATAGTGTTTGTGATAACATCCTTAACAGCTGCCTCGACATTTTCTTCTACTGGTTTCTTCCTCTTTCTTCCTGCGGCACTTGTGCCCATCTGTAACAGTGGTGAAATTGCAATTTATTGTAAAAGTTATTTATTTTTTAATGTTAAAAAATTTATTTTGTCAAAAGGTTGTACCTTTGGACACGTCCCAAGGTACAACCCGCAAAGTATCCTAAGGTGCAACCTAGCACACCTGATAAAATTAATTTCTTAACCTTAAAAAAAACTAAATTACTTTTCAATATTTTCTTGCATGGACTTCTTGCTTAAACAACACCCCGGCAGTACTACATGGGGCAAAGTGAATAACTTATGCTTACCTTGTTTGTATACGAGCTGGGAGTTGCCGTAAAATTTTACTTTTAGGGCGCGAAAACGATAAATCTGACATTTGACCTCGGAACAATGACTGAAATAGAATGGTATTGGTGGGCAACACAAAGAAGAGTGTTGGTAACATAATATGTAGTTTTGAGAGTTACCGCTAGAGTGGTTGAATTTTGAGAGCAACTGTTCCAAGGTAAAACCGTCCCAAGGTACAACCCTTTCCCCTACCTTTAAACTATTTTTTTACGACCTGCAAACGATAATAAAAAAACTAAAAACTTATGTTAAATTCAATGTAAAAATTTTATTCATTTGTGTTAAAAATAAATTGTCATTGACATACCAATTACATCACATTAATATAGAGTATTTCTATTTGGTTAGTCATTAGTTTTTAATGATGTTTATTTTTCAGACCATCAATGTCCACAAATTTTGACTTACCTTTGGATTACCTGAATGCAGAATTGTTTGGCAAGCAAAACAGCAATTGTGAAAAATATTTTAAAACTTGCAACATTAGTTTATTACAATTATTTAGTAAATTACGCGTGTAAAATTGAATATATCAATTTACTTTTATAAGACTGACATTTATAAATTAATTAAAATATTACTTAGAAAAAGTAAAATAAATAAAAATTATATAGAGACGTTTTTAAATAAAACAAACAGTTTGTAACGCTTCCAAATAAAGTTTATTTCTGGCCATGTTTAATGTTGCAGGATTAGGTTATAACATTCCATTGATTTTTTTTTACATTGATCAAACAACGAACATTGCAAATGAGTTTCACATTTTAAATATATTTGAAATATGGGGTCAAATTTTGGAAATATATTTAAACATTAATTAGTAATTTCATCTATTAACAAATAAACGGGATTCATCTTTGGGATGGTGTCTGAATAAGTGGTTTGATATGTTTTTATTTTAAGAAATAGTACAATAGGTTCAACCTTTAGTTACAATCATTTATAAACTGTGACAGAGAATGTATATTTCATTTTTAATATTTTTTCTACTTCTACAGAAATTAAAAAAATACCTCTTAACCAGTTTTTCAAAAATTAAAAAAATATACCAATAGCGTTTTTCATGAAAATAAACACTTTCAGATTTTAATTGAGAACTAAATTTATTTAGTCTGATATTCGAAAAAAAAAACCTATTATGACTGGTACGATTTAATACTCATTTTCCAATTTTTATAAGTTTCAACTTCTTAAATTTTAATAACGTGACTTCGAGTTATTAAAAAAAAACTTTTTGTGATATTCTTGTATAAAATTCATTTCTATGTATATTATAAAGTTTTATAAAAACTTTTTTAACCTAATGTTTCATTTTATAAGGCATAATCAAATATTAATTTAAACATTTTTAGGTGTAAGTTACGTGGTTCACAAGAAAAGTGTGAAATTTGCTGTAAGTAATTTGTCGTAAGTTATTCATGAAGTTATTATACAAGGTGTTATCAAACCCCTTGTCAATCTTTGGAGACGCCGAGAAAAAACAAAAGCCTAAATACCATTTTTCTCAAAAGTTCATAACAAAAAAAAAACAGATTTTTCCAATGAGCACGGGCAAGTAAAAAAAACATCGAAAACTGGTTAATAACCAAACGTATAAAACGTATTAAAAGTAGTTCAAATGTAGCAGAAAATAATGTAATTTGCAACCAAACGTTATAAAAAACTTATTAATTTATCAAATTTTCAACAGTCAGTAGACGTTTTCAGATATACTGTATAACATGGATCCAAATCTGAATAATTTTTGAGAAAAACAGATGTTAAGTTATTTGAAAGGGTTATCATAGTACTTTTTCAACATCCAGCCTATTATAATAATTTTTATCGACTTTTATTTTGATTATTTTTTAAAACAATTTAAATATATTTCCAATTTTCGACAAAAACGAATAGATCAATCTTACGACGTTCTCCCTCTTAAAACAAAATCATTTTGGTATAATCTGGTTTGGATTTATAAAGAAAGATGATGTAATTTTCATAAAAACAGTAAAAGTCCTTTATACCTTTAAAGGTTTTTGATTTTAGTGTTTTTGTAGGTTATACAGAGTGCCCCATTAGTGCGTAATTGTTTAATATTTCAATTTGTGTTAAAGACACGCAAAAAGTTGTAAGAATTTCAAAAATACATAGTTTAAAATTATTTTTTAGTTTATGCCTGGCAAATAAAATTGTAACTAGAACACCTTATATTTTATTTTTAGAATATTTTGGTAATACTGTATTCAGCCTTATAATGTTTTTAAAAAATATTATAGTGTTGCCAAGCAATTAATTCTTTTTTGAAATTTGCGAATGATGCAGACCTCAAATTAAATTATCATAATTTAGGAAGGTCGGCATTGATTTTAAATTATTTAAATACAGACTTATAAGATACTAAGCTAACGAATACTGGTTTATTTTATACAGAGTGTTTTGAAACATGTTTTAAATATGGATAATTTTAAGTTCAATTTACTAAATTTATTCAAATGAAACACCCTATAATATATTATCTTAGCCTAAAATTTCTTATACATTTGCCTTGACAACGATACCAATATGTTAGCTAATAACACATATACAGGGTGTCTCATCAGTGCGTAATTGATCGATAGATTTTTATTATTAGGAATACGAAGAAATTTTTAATATAAAAGTTGTATAACCATTTTTACCAATTATTCTTAAATATACAGAGTGGTCTATAAACGAGGTGCTGATCAAATTTGTTAAAGCAAAATACCCTGTAGGTAGTTATACATATCTGATTGTTTTCACATCTTCAAATTATTTTAATTGAATTCATTTATTTGCTATGTTGTATATAGGGTGTGTCAAAATGTGAGGTTACGATTTTTTCAATTTTTTTAAATGGAAATAATTAATTGGTGGTATAACATATTCCATCTAAAAAATTGAGAAAATCGATACCCCGCATTTTGACACACCTTATATACAACATGATGTATATTAAAATTGTTTGACGATGTGAATACAATCAAATATGTATAACTACCTGCAGGGTGTTTTGCTTTAAAAATGTATAAGTTTGTCAGCCTCTCGTTTAAGAATATTTATTAAATATGGTCATACAACTTTTATATTATTTTTTTTTCGTATTTTCAATAATAAAACAGATATCGATCAATTACGCACTGACGGGACACCCTGTGTATGTGTTATTAGCTAATATGTTGGTATCGTTGGATAGGCAAATTTATAAGGAATCTTATGTTTAAATAATAAACAGAGTGTTTCATTTAAAAAAATTAGCCATATTTAGGACACGTTTCAAGACACTCTGTATAAAATAAACCAGTTTTATCACCACTATTCATTAGTTTAGTATCTTATAAGTCTGTATTTTAAACAATTTTGAAATTATTGTAAACCTACCTAAATTATGATAATATAATTTGGGGTATGCGTCATTCTTTAATTTTATAAAAAATTAATTACTTGGCAACCCTGTAATATTTTTTAAAATTTATTTAGAGTTGAATACAGTATTACCAAACCATTCAAAATAAACTGAAATAAAATAGTTTATTATATTTAAAAAATTTACATTTTTATTTGCCAGACAAAAAAGCAACACCCTGACTTTTTAAGGAATAATTTGATTGTGCGTTGTTTCATGGAAATTACTTTTTTGTGTTCATATACTAAAATAGTAAATTATAAATAACACAAGTAAATAATATTTTTCTACGTCCTTTCATGTTTTAGATTTCTTCATATTTCCGAACCGCAGTATATAAATCAGACGAGTTATAAGGGAAAACTTCGTTTTGTACAATAAGTATCACTATTCATTAAATGCTCTTAAAACAGACAACATCTTGCTTAAAGAGGCTTATTTTAACAGAACCAACATTGGTTAAATATGTATCTAAATTCAGGTTATTTTAACCCCCCGAAAAATGAATAATTACTTCAAAAAATCCAAAATACATCTGATTGTAGTGACCAATAATTTATAGGTACTTAGAAGACATGTTAAAAGCTAAAGCTTTAAGAAAACTATGAAAAATAAAAAAAAAAGTACAAATTGTTGGATTATTATTTTTAAGTTTTATTAATGATGACGTAATTTGTGTTCTACTGACAACAACAGTGATAGTAGATAGAAAATAGAGGTTACAGGTATCAGTATTATTTTATTTCTATTATATTCAAGATTGTATTCATTAAAAATAATTTAGTTACATACCTTTAAATTATTAATTTAGAACCTGCAAAGAATGTTAAAAAAACTAGAAACATGTATCGTTGGTTCACAAGAATAGTGACACAATTCAAAAATTTCTATTTTCAAGCCTATTGTGAAAATGTATTGCAAAATCCACAATTTTTTTTTGTAAAAGAATGACACTGCTACATCTAAAAATAACCGACGGAAATCATTTATGCCGTTCTTTCCGTAATATAAAGTCGCCAGTTTATGATGATAAAGAGTGACACAAATCTAATTATCCTTCGACATTCAATATCGTCAATTTTCGGCTAGAGTGACATAAATCAAAATAAGCCAGTTTTATTAAAAATAAACTAAGAACATTATTTTTAACAAGTGATATTATTGTTAAAAAGGTCATTATGGATATGGTGTAAAAGACATTTTTCTGGAAGACCCTTATAAAAAAGAGAAAAAAAAATAATATTTTGGCTTTTTTTTGTTATTGTTTAAAGACAAGGTAAACATTAATGTTTATTACAAAATAGATTTAAACGTTTTTAAAATGCAAAATCATGCTTTGCAGCAAACAAGAAACTTTAAAATATATTCAAAAATCTATGTTTTTGATTTTTGTCACTATTCCTGTATACCAACAATATGTTATAGTTAATGCCATCATGGTATGTTTCTGTTAAAAGTTAACTATCAGTGGAACACAAATTACGTTACACTAATATAGCCAAATAGTATCGGTCTTTTCACCTCTTTTTGTTTCATAAAGTCATAAAAAAATTGGAAACATCAACAATAAAAAATGGATCATTTTCTTCACTCTTTGTCTAATCTCTAAATTGATTTACGCTTATGTATCAAATTTCAAGTCAATATGTTATATAAAACGAAATATACATTTTAACTTCAACACTCTGTATATCAGTAGTAGATCTATGCTGAAGAGTGGGACACACTTTGGTACACGAGGTACATCGAAACGTTTTTTAGTGCCAAAATTGATCAGGTTGAACCAAAGCAGCCACTAGCTTGTCTTGAGCTATCCATATGGTCGAGAGCTCTTTGGTTATCTGTTGGAAGCCGAGCTGTGATAGTCTTGTTGTATAGCGGTACACCATTAATTTTCAAATATTTGTTGAGTGAAAAATACATATTTTTTAACTTCAGACTCATACGGTAAGAATACTATCAAAATAAACACTTATTAAATTCATATTATCTACTTCTAATTTATCAATAGTTGTCTTTCAATTTGTCACAGACATTGGAACGTTCCAATGTGGCCCTCAAGGATTTTATATTTGTCGGAACAGCCCATAACATTCTGTATCAGATTGTGCTAACATTTGCGAAGGGGATATTTTGGTTGAAATTGAAGA